GGGGAGGATAACAGAAATTCTTCATATCATGATAAATCAATCATTACCACAAATAATTTATAGGTATATAAAAAAGTACAATTTAAAAGGTTTCTATTCAAGTAATCGACCACTATACTTTAGCATACTCTAATAATCATATATCAGGCATAAGTACTTCAAATCAAGGTAAAGTAAACATTTTTACATCACACAAGACTAAATTTGTACCAAATTCCTGGCCTTGGAGCTCCAGAGTCACGTTGCGTACACGCGATTGGCTAAACGCTCTGACTGCGAGAACTTCTCTAATGCGACTTAACCACTTCCACTGAAATTGCAGTCACCATCCAGAGGTTTCGAATTAAAAAGCACCAGGAATAGAGGAATAACCAACATTGTCCTGCGAAATTTACCTAGATATGTGATTTGTAAATTCACAAGTATCATAAATGTATGCCTGTTAAATTACCGCATCAATCTACAAAGAATGAAACCGTATATTCAACTTTCTCCCTCCCGAGCAATTCATGTTTAAAGAAAACTTACCCACTACTAAACAATTAGTTCGCATCACAGGATTAGTTGGTGCAGCCCGGCATTCTAGGTTAAATAACTATTTTCCTGATGTTGGACGTGGCGAAAGCCGTCGATCGTGTCTGGCATGAGCAGCTCTTCTGCAAATTAATTAACTTAAAACTGTAAGAGAATTTATCGCACTTTTCATTTGTTAAGAACAGAAAGTTCAAAGTTTCAACTACAAATACCTTCTCCTCTGAAAGGATTAATCTTTCCAAGACCTTGAGCTTGCCATCTATTTTGATTTTAGTCCATGTGCTGGAACTATCCCCCGAGATTTTTCTTCAAAGACGGAAACAGATGGAAGTCGCTTGGTGCGAGATCAGGACTGTATGGCGGATGGTGTAGGCGCTCCCAACCAAGAATTGCAATATGGTTTTGCGTTGCCGTTGCCGAATGTGGTCTGGCATTGTCATCCAACAGCAGAACACCAGATGTGAGAAGACCAGGCCGCTTTTTCCGAATCGCCTTTTTCAATTTCAACACGATGTCGCAGTAGCGCGTAGCATTGATGGTTCCAGCCTCAAAAAAGTCCAGCAACAAAACTCCTTGGGCATCCCAGAAAACTGTGAGGAGCTCTTTACCTGCAGAGGGAATTGTCTTGAACTTCTTTCGGACAGGTGATGACGAATGTTTCCACTCCATAGATGTGGCCTTCGATTCTGGCGTGAAATGGTAGACCCACGTTTCATCCCCCGTCACAATCCGAAACAGAAAGTCATTGCCATCTTCATGGTAACGCACAAGATGTTCCAGGCTGACCCCATACGTTGTTCCTTGTGTGTCGAGGTCAATTGTCGGGGCACCCATCGTGCTGACACTTTTCTGTATCGAAGAATGTCGTGGATGATGTTTTGAGCTCGCTCATGTGAGATTCCAAGTTCTTTCGCTACTTCATCGATGGTGATACGCCGGTTCGCTCTAATAATGTCATCCACCTTCATGACATTTGCATCTGTAGTGGCCGTGCGCGTCCATCCAGCTCTCGGTATGTCCTCCACTTGCTGACCTCCATCACAGAATGTGCAACACCATCTCCACACCATTTGCTTCGACATCACACCTGGCCCATAGACTTCCACGAGGCGGTTATGAATTTCTGTTCCTGATACTCCACGTGCCCATTCATAGCGATAACCGCTCTCACTTCCTCCTTGACCTCGAAATCAAAATGCGCCTTCTCTCCATACCTACTGGGGCTCAAATGAGAGGCTGGTCTCTGCTTTGCACAGGCACTGCAACAGCGACATCTGCTTGATTTGCAGCGATCTCTACCCAATGGTGTATTGGTGACTTGCACGTTTTCCTGCTGTGCCGCCAACACAGCAGGAAAACGTTAGCTGTTCAACGCTTCTTCCATATGCAAAGCCCTGATTTTTTCCTGGATGGCTTTTTGAAGCTTATCAAGCGATATGACAAATGTCTCAATGTACTTGGTACCTATGTGGAAAAAAAAAGGTATGTCATATCTTTAATGTCTCATTCTATTTTTTGACTTTCATACACAACTCTGACCACAGTCGATAGGGGAAACTTATTTTTCAACTTACCTATGTATATTTGGCTAAGAAACTCCTAAGTTTGAGTGGATTCATTACAATAAAATTATTTTAAACTGTTTATCCACTTTTTCAGAAAGGTTTTCAGGTTGAGGTTTGTGTTACAAGAGAGCAAAGTGTAAAATACATCATACAGCCAGATGATTGTGATTGCAATTTGATTTTTTACTTAACTATTCAATTCTCTAAAATATTACTAGTAATTCTTAATGAAAGTTTATGGGGAAGAATTTTTAAAAAAGAGTGGCCCAAATCCTGTGTTGGATAAATATAAATAATTAACCTTGTAGCACTCATGCTCTGTGACTCAAGCAACTTTAAATTTTGTACTACAGTCAAAAGTCGTTAATTCGGACACCCATAATTCGGAATGATCTATAATCCGGACCTCAAAACTAAAAACTTTCTGCGCATGCGCCGCGTTGACACATGCGCATAGGCGTTTACGCGTGCGCGTAAGACCTTTTACGACTGCGCATATGAGTGTGCACAAGTGCAGAATACGTTTTCGCGTGCGCATTGTATGTATAATGGACGTATAAGCTAAAATTATCTAATTATCTATTTCAGTTAATGTTGATGATTGCGTTGTTCCTTAATTTTCGAATTGGATCCGGCTTATTATTTTTTGCAGACTGTAAGAGCAATTTTATAAAAGTAAGCTTAAACTTTCGATTATATCAAATAGAATTTCCGATATATATTTGTTAATATGTAAAGGATCTAAAGCGAAAGTATGTTTTGAAATCCGAAATCTGTTTATCAATTTCACGCTGCTCGGCAGGGGGAACACCGCAGCGGGGGCGTGTAATGAATTGGAAGTTGATCTGTCAGCACTATCCTTATCTTCAGGGCAGATGTTTTTATTTTATTTGGCTTATAATTCCTTACCAAATTAGTATTTCATCTCGATGTGCTCCGTCTTTGATATGATTTAAAACAAGTTCCTCGTCATTATAATTCGCTTCCGATAGCGAAGAAAGTGACAGAGGTTAGTGAAAACGAAAAAATTTCGATTGACAAATTAGTCGGTGTTCTCGACACAGCAATTATAGGACTTGAACAGCGGAACTTTGTAACTGAACAAGAAATTATGTCTGTTTAATAGAATTAAAGAGAAAGTATTATCACATGAAACGAAGCAAAACTTAAACAACTTACATTGAAAGAAATGTTTAATAAAGTGAACAAATAAATATTAAGCTTTTTCTTTTAGCAAATTTTGATACCCTTTAGATCATATTGTTCTTTATTTCATAAATTACGGTTTCATATTTTTAATTTTAGAATTTCTGCATGCCATCTTACGAGATTTAAACTGATGATCTATAATCCGGAAAAATTGATAATCCGGAATCGCCGAAGTCCCGACGAGTCCGGATTAACGACTTTTGACTGTACTGATAACTACTGCATTTCTGTCTGTTAGAAGCAAACAAGTATCATAAAATTTAATATCAGTAAGTTTTCTTGCAATTCCAGTGTTAAGAATGAAAATTCCATTTTTCATTCATCTTAGTGTAACAGCTATTCCACAATAGAAGTGGCACTGATTTTTTTTTCTTTTTTTTTCTTTTTTCCTAATGAAAGCTTTAGATTTTACTTTAGAAAGTCTTATAATAAACTTATTAAATTTTTCAGAATATTGATCTCCATGCTTTGACAGGATGGATACCAGATAGAATTTCAATTGATTTATCTGATCCAACATTTGCTAAAGATAAAATTTTCAAAACAATGGTGGATAAGCACAATAAAGGGCATGTTTTAATTACTGTTGCCACTGGAGAATTAAGCAGTTCTGAAGCAGATAGGGCAGGGTTAGTGCCGACACATGCTTATGCTCTTCTTGATGTGAAGGAAGTGTTGGTAAATATGAAAAGTTCTTTTTATTATTGATATATATGTAATTGAAGGTCAATAAATATCATCTTCTTCTTTCATTTTTTCATATTGTTTTATTCAAATATTTTATGCAAGACTGATTACATTTTATATATATTTAAGTGTATGAAAAATTAGAAGCAAATCTACTCAATAACAAAGAAGTGTGTGTATTTTAATGAAAGATTTTAAAATTTTCACTTCATTTATGTGTAAAGTTAAGCATATGGAATTATCTTTGTTTATTCTAAATAATTTATGTATGTGTTTTTCCATATTTTTAGTTAATATTGTGTGTAAGTAATGCACTTTCTTATGTACTTTTGTAAAGCTATAATTCCGGCTACTTCTATTAATAATAATCAACGAAAAGTTTAATTGAATTTTAATTGTAAATAAACTGCCACAAAAATGTATTTAGTTTTAATTTTATTAAATTTTTTATTATCCTTTTTTTTATTTATTTTTTTAATGTATTTAAATATTTAAAATCATTACATTCAAAATACTTTATTTTATCTACACTGAATTATTAATTAACCATGCTAATTTAAAATATAAATAATCATAAATTTACCTTGTAAAATAATAATTTATGGACCCCAGAAAATCTGCTCTTGGGAAATTTTGAATGACATAACATTTTTTAGATATTAAATATACAAAAATATTCTGCTTTTTTTCTGAAAAAGTCTAATAACTTTGTGGATAATATTTCAAACAGTATGGCAAATAATGCCCAAAATTACGATGTCATTAAATTTGCACCCAATTTTTAAAGCCATGTAGTCTGATAATCTATTCTGCATATTCTGATGTGTTATGACCACTTCTGCTGTTTTGTCTTCTTCTACGAACTTCTCTTAAATCTGCAGCAATCTGGCAACCAACCAGTTCTCACACCGAAAAAGGGATTGAATTGTTGGCTTCAAAGCCATAAGCGTGTGGCCATGAGATGCAGTATTCAGCTTCTTACTAACAGGCAGTATTTTGATCTTTCACCAAGGTTACCAGTGCAGAGAGTAGCACAAGTGCCATCCTGACTATGAGATAATGTTTCAAAACAGAGCAGTAACTATTGAACTGAACAAGGTTCTCTCTAAGTCAATGGATGAAGAATATCTTGGATTGATAAAAAAAAAACTCGCAGCCTTGATTGTTTTTGTCTTTCTCAAGTCATACTTCTATATTGGTATTTGAACATTGTATCCTTGAACATCTGAAATAACTTCAACAAGGTCTGATGTGTTACCTCATTATCACCCAAAGCTACCTAGTTTTCACTCTCAGAGATCACTTTCCTAAGCCTTAACTAAGCGTTAGGCTCTTAACTTCATTCCGTGGTTCAGCAGTGACATTCACTGCATCTGAAACCATGAATTCCGTACCTAATGTTGCAACTTTTTCCTCGGGTATTAGAGAACTTTCTTGTAAGACTATTTTCAATACTAATGTATTATCCATTGATCATGAAATTGTTACCAAGCAGCATGATTTAACACTTATGGATAAGAGAGATATACCTGCACACTCATAATATCTACACTTTTATTTGCTGTAACCTTGACAGATTCCCCACGAGCCACCTTTTGTTTTTATGAACGAGGATGTAAATTAGCTATTATTGCCATATTTTTATGGAATTGTTCTATCATAAATACAATACAATAGCTAAATATGGCTACCAAAAACAATAATAGATTGAAGTGTTACCTGCAGAAAGTTTGCACTCATATCGTTCTAAACTGGTAAAATCGGAGACCTAACGAAATGATATCAATCAATGAAAGTGTTCAGAAACAAAGAAGGTCAGGCATCATTTCCTTCAGGACAATTATCGTAACTTTCGTGGGATTTCTGCCCACTTTTATGATTTGATGGTAGCCAACTTTTGTGGTTGACAGGATAATACATAAGTATTGTATTTTCTTTGAGACAATCTACAACCTAGATAATATGCAGATAAGTATATAGGAACTCATTATAGTTGAATTATGTTTAACTGTATCTGTTGCTTCTTATTTCTACTATACATTTAACGTTAACATCTTAAATTCTTCCTTCTTCAACAAACATTTGCCCTAAATGTTGAAATGTATGTGTATAATATCATCGTGATATTCACAGGGGAAAAGATTGTGCCTTTTGAAAAACCCATGGAGTCATTTAAGATGGAAAGGACGGTTTTCTGAACATGATACGAAAAACTGGACTCCAGAGTTAAAGGAAGCCTTAAGATATGATCCACGAAATGCTCAAATGTTTGATAATGGTAACTATTCTTTTTGTTTTTTTTTTCTTCAAATAGTGTGAGGCAAATCAGTATCTATAATTGAAGCTGTATTATACTTATATTGGATTTCTAGATTAAGGTTATTTCTCAGTATGCAATAAAATCTTTTAAATGTATGTGTGTTGACAGCAAAATGTATTTTCTATGTATTTATTTTTATTATTTTTAATACATAATTTTTAGTTAATTTCATTTACATATTAAAATCTTTATAATTTTTTAGGCGTGTTTTGGATTGACTATGACTCTCTATTGCATTTCTTCAGTGTAATTTATTTGAACTGGAATCCTGAAATGTTCAAGTATACCTATTGTCTTCATCAGTAAGATTTGATTGATCTCATTTATTATTTTCATCCTTTATTTGTATGGAAACTGTAGTATGAAAGTCCTTCTGTTTCTTTCAGTTATCTTGACTGCTGCTGATTTATTTCTTCCAATAAATGTTTGATATGATAGAATTAAAAGTATTATTTCTTAAAATAATTTTGATCCAGATTTTAGTATTTGCACCTAGATCTTTTTTGCTTATACAGTAAAGTCCGAAATTCAGATGTCCAATGTACAAAATGATCTAATATCTGGAAGCAATTTTTTAATACAAAATCTAGGAAATAGGAATATAATACTAGAAAAAAAAATTTAAAAAAAAAAAAAAAAGGTGTGCCGTAAAAAAACGATTTTTCTATCAACTGGCTAAGATTCCTGTATGTCACTTTAATAATAATATGAAGAGTTGTGTGTAAGTAAGTGACTATAGTAAGATGTGTTATATCAATATGATCTACTTAGCACTTTATTTGTTACTCAGTCACTTGATTACAAGTTGTTGCATTACTTCATAGGGGATATCGTCTGGAACTTGAATATCACACTCTATTAGATTCCTCTGCCCATTTTTGTCTTTGACAGCTTCTCGACACTTATTTAATTACTTTATTCTTGTACTTAATTTGCATCTTCATACCTAATTTACTTTAGTTAACATTTAATTTTTTTAACAACTCATTTTTTTTGGGCCATTCCTTCTAAAATGTATGGTCCTAAGAGAGTCCTTGCTCTCCCCACCAGTACTTGAATTGCTTGTATTGTACATTCTCCCCATGGCCATTCCTGTTACTCCTGGTATTTACATGACTACATGCCTTCTACTTTTCATTCGCCTAACCTTCTGAACAGAAGTCCATAATTTAAGCTTCGACCGCCGAACATGTACGCCATTGCAGAGCACACTGCGGAAAATTTTCTTCACGGATGGTAATAATTGCTTTATCATCTATGTCTACACATTTCTCAACCACAGAATTTTTCAACATCTGACTGTTTATCCTTCAGGTGCTAGCATATTGCTGGCTTGCATCGTTATTGTTCATGTTTGATGTGAAATCTATACAACTCATCTACTTTATTGCTTGACACAGAATAAGGCTTCTAGTGTAGCTGCCTGAACAAATGAGCCCACTCATCTGACCAGTGTCAGAATTCCATGAATCACATTGCCATGCCAAGCTGAAAAGAATCATCGAGTACAGCCACATCGAGATAACCTCATCAGAGCTATCCCTGAGGATAGCTTGTAGGGAATTTTCCAGGATGGCATGCAGTCTTGCCGTCTGCTGGGGAATTTTATAGTACTTATCATCTTCAGCACTGTAAAGCTTTGAGGAGGAATGCGTAGTTTCCAACACAGAAGTTAAAATCGATATTTAATACTTATTATTAAAATAACATTTTTGAAGGGAAAAGAACTTGCTGAAATTGTGGTTCAGGTATATAAAAAAATTCCAAAACCTTTTTTATTTAGGGACATGGTACACTTTGGCTAGAATTAACAATTTATCTCAAAAGCTGAGAAGTACCAGAACCAGGCTCCAATGGGCTCCAGCACAATTTAAGCTCTGTTGCCTTCTGTAGCAGGCTTGCCATAATTCAAGCATAAGAAAGTGGGATTTCCTATTTAATCAAACACATAACCTTATTTTGAATGCTGTAAAAGGCACATTTTCCCAGTTCATGTAATTTGTGAACAAATGTGAAGAAGTGGTAATGAATGAAGACAGTATAACAAAAGTTTTTCATTGTAATAATCAGCAATCAACTAACTTTCAGCAAAATCTGTTGCATGGTTTTAAATTCAGAAAATATTGTTACTCATAGTGAAGAAAATGACAAAGAAGTTTTGGAAACTGAAAGGATTTCAGTTGGTAGTTTAGTTGAAATTCTCGACATGGCAATTGCAGGACTTGAAGATTGGAACTTTCTAAATAAGAAATTATATCTATCAATAACATTAAAGAGAAAGAGTATTAACACAAAAAATGAAGCAACTTTATCTATTGCATTAAAAGAAATGTTTAATAAAACAGATAAGTAAATATTGAGCTTTTTTTATAAATTTTGATTCCCTTAAGATGATAAATGCTTCATTTTTCTACATGTTATCTTACTAGATTTAAACTGATGATCTAAAATCCGGGAATTTTTAAAATCTGAAATCACTGATGTTTTGACTATTCCGGATATCAGATTTTGTACTGTATTTGTATGGCCATTCATGTTTTTAAGGATAGTAATAATAATGATTTTAAAATCTGAAATCACTGATGTTTTGACTATTCCGGATATCAGATTTTGTACTGTATTTGTATGGCCATTCATGTTTTTAAGGATAGTAATAATAATGATTGCATTAATGTATAAAATGACTAAATGCAAAGGTTTTTATCTCAGAATGGAGTTTACCATGTTATTATTACACCATGTAGCTTTAATATTTCATCAGATTAATTGTTTGTAATTGAGTACATGTGGTTTGATATAGAAAATATTTAATTTGAATTATTCTAATCAACTTGTGTCAAGAATAATTTATATAAATCAAACTCAAAAAGTAATAATTGCAAATGTAAACTTGTTTAATATAGGTAAGCTGTATGTGAAGTATTCCAGACTTGGCAATATAGAAAAATATATATTTCATAGTTGAATATATATTTTGGGTTTGAGAAATTGCACTGATAAATTATACTGAATGGTGAGCAAAGTATTTCAGAACCAGCATTAAATGTAAATAGGATTTACTTACTTCATTTTTGATTTTAAATCAAACAAAACATGTTTACCAAGGCACTTTCATATTTTACTATGACTACATAAATTAATATATTTGTAACAAATTATGAATTAAATTATGGCAAATAATTTTAAAAATAAATAGTAATTACTTTTTAAGATTATTTACCATGAGTATGTTAATGTTACTATGTATTGGTGATTTGTCTTTTGTCAGCTACTTAGAAATTACAAAGTGTATGATTTTAAACTCTACATAAGAAATGATAAAATCAAAATTTTCATTGCGCAGACATTGAGGGGTTTTTTTTTTCGGGGGGAGGGGGGGGTTGAAGAAGTGTATTTCAGCCTTTGCTGTTGTACCTACAAATTCTTTTTACCATTCTAATCATATATTTTCAACTACCAAAGCTTTTTTTACCATTTCAGTGATATGTCTGCTCTCAGTCAGCACAGCAAAGAGCCATACTGATCTTATATTAATGAAAGATGACAGGCTTCATAATGTTGTGTATTATGTATTATTGTTCATTCAAAATTAATTTCGACCAGTGCAATACCTATATATAAACGTAATATGACCACAAAGGGTTAAATTATGTATTCAATAAACTCCATTCAAGAAATATGACAATTTCTTCAAATCTGTAACTTGAGTTAAAATATATAGAAAAAAAATCTTTAATTATAGAATTTTTATCAGTGCACTAAAATTAGAAACTGTAATTTTTTTAACCATCTAAATATTCTTGATCATATTTTTAAAAAATTATGTAGTTGCTATCAATGGCTGATTTTAAATCAGAATTGTCAAAGAAAATTTAAACAAATTTAGTGTAACCATTCTTTCGTACAGCAACCCCAATTAACATAATATGCCCTCAAATGTAAATCTTATGTAAATATTGAGTCAAGATTAATAAGATATAAATATTATATAAATACAGACTCAATATTTACAATATATTATAAATATTGAGTCATTTAATTTTCAACAACTCTAATCAAACAATTATTTCCGTGACTCCAATTTATGTAATATGCCCCAAAATATAGATATGAAAATATTGAGTCAAGATTAATAAGATATAAATATTATGTAAATATAGACTCAATATATACAATATATTATGTGAATATTAAGTCATTTAACAAGTACTTGCCCCCAGGGCAAAATGCTTGTTGAATGACTTGATATTGATATAGCAAAATCTTTTCTGTTGTAAAAGAATATTAATGGGTACCTTGACGAGATCTGTGTGCTTCTTTTCCTAAAGCAAAGCAACAGAAACTCAACAGCAGAACCATTTGTTCTGCCAGTGTGAATGCTAGGGTACTGCCTGGGCAATGGCTCAGTATAAAAAGTATTCAGAAAGAGCCAGTGTAATCTGATGATTTATTAGAAGATTCATGAGCTACTTCTCACTCACTTGATGCAATTTTGGAAGACATAAGTAGAATCATAGATTTATTAAGAGCAAAAATAAGATCTATGGCACAGCAGATCTTTGATGCATTGGTCACACAGAGTGTTTAAAATGCAATACTTAAGGAAAGACTGAAAGAGCAATATATGATTCTGCCAATACTCAACTTATGTAACTATTGCAAATCCAAAGAGATTTCCACAAAAGATCTATCGGACAATACATGATAAATCTACTAATAAAATTAGGTCTGATGATCATTGTGCTGCTTTATCCAAGTAAGGCTGATACAACCTCTGAAAAGGTTAAAAATAAAATTGTGGATTTGATTAATCCTATCCAATTACATATTGGTGTGGAAAAATAAAAAAATTTTTAAAAAATATATAAATAGAGGTTATATTTTGATAGAATGATCAAAGGCTTCAGACTTAGAAATCTTAGAAGCAGAGGTAAAGTCGAATGAGTTATTTAAAAATGCAATTGTGACACAACAATATACTAAAATTATTATTATTTATGATGTGGCCACTGATTTTTTTCATGAAGAGTTTGCAGTGATGATTAGAGATCAAAAAACGGATTTTGAAGATAGCTGAAATTTTCAATGAAAGGTCGAAATAAAGTATACTGAATGCCAGTATAGACACAAAAAATATAGATATTTAATAAAGTTTGGAAAGCCTAACATAAATTGATCTCGTCCTAGAATAAAGAAGTACTTAAGAGTAATGTAATGGTTTAAATGTTCAAAGCATGGACACTTTCAGACAAAATGTCAAGTGTTACTGAGTTGTGCTAGATGTGGTGTAACTTGGGCACAAACATTGGACATGTAAAGCAGCTCCAAAATGTACTAATTGTAAGGAAGGAAATGACAAACTGAAACTTAGTGTTAATCATTTGAGTTTGGAAAAATATTATCCTTCTCATAAAACATCAAATGGATCTTTTGATAACTGCATGAATTATTGCTACTGTGATTTATAAAGACATAAGAATGGTCCAAATCAATTTACATCATGCTAAAGCAGCTACTAATCAGCTGTGTGTTAAAGTTGGTGAGAAAGGTTGTAATATTACTTTCTTGCAGGAACCTTATATTGGTGGAAAATAAGATTTAGAGAATCCCAATGAAATTTCATGCATTCTATGATCATAAGAAATTTCCTTATGTTTCAGTAATACTGTTGATATAATTCCTGAAGTGCTTCTTTTTTCTGCTTCTCCTAATATTGTGGCAATAAAAATGTCTGTAACTAATTAAGATGCTATTTTTGTTTCGGTATACTATCCTTCTAGTGAGTCTGTAGATGACTACTTGTTTGGTATCATTAATATTATTAACTTGAAAGAAGGATCTGAAATAATCATATGTGGTGACTTAACGGCAAAGAATTCTCTGTGGGATCATTACCATGATGTTATTGATCCAAAGGGACAGGTCATTATTGAGTTTTGTATAATTAATAATTTGATTGTTCATAATGATTCAGAGAGCCTAGCAGTGGCTACATTTGACTCTTGGAGTGATTTGACTGACATTTACTTTGAGCTGGTCTGTTTCTTAGGACATCTGTGGTAATTATCATTGCTATACTGAGATTGATATTCCCCATAAAATTATTGGGAAGAGGAGTAGTGAGCATTACTATATGATGGATCTCGTTGAGCTTCCGTTCAGAATTATATAAGTTCATTGAATAAAGAGATTTGAATCATTTCCAATCAGAATTTGGAAATGATTTGAATCTCTTTATTGAAGATATCACAAATTAAAAGTGGATATCTGTAAGAGAAGTAAAAGAAAATGTTATGTAAATTAGTATGTGGTATCTAATACAAAAGTGTATTGGTGGACTGAAAAGTTGTCTGTACTATGAAGTCAAGCTCAACTTTATAGAAGAAAATATCAGATATGTATTCATAGTCAAAGAAAATATCAGATATGTATTCATAATCAAACAGAAAGCGTAATGTTGAATGCTCGGTTTAAAAGGAAGTTTGCTGAATATAAACATGAAATAAATATGAGTTAAAAGGGCTCTCGTGAAGAACTGTGGGAGGCAGTGAGTATTAATAAACTATTTGGTATTCCGTTATTATATTCCTGCCAACAAGTGTAAGGCAGTTTTGCGAATGGCATCTGTAAGAAATGCTGATGGGACTTATAGAAGAGATATGGATATATACCAAAATATAGAAGAGATAGAACATTATTTTCTGAATTATCATTTTCCTGAAGATGATATTTATGAGGACTTGCTTAGTCATACCCAAACTAGATGTAGGATACTGCCTGATATGGCAAATGATTTGGGATGAAGTTGAGTAGACTTTTCTTATGTTGAATAATGGTAAAGCCCCCAGTAATGATGGTCTGTCTCAGGAAATTATTTTGGAAGATTTCATTTGTAATCAAAAGTTCTTCATGGCTATTTTAAATGAATGCTCCATAGAGGGATATTTTTCAGAATGCTCGAAAAAGGCGGCTGTGGTTTTGCTTAATAAAGAAAAAGATCTGATGTGGATGCCGCATGACTTTGTATGACCTATTAAATTATGCACATTTTTTGCTGCACTTCGTTGAAACTTAATTTCTTGAATTTCATTAGAAATATATTTCTCATTCAATCAAAATTCAGTTCTCACTTTGTGGCAAGGCAAAAATACATAAAAACTCAAAACACCTTCATTAAAAATTGTGAAACAGAGAAAAATATAAAAAGCCAAATGCAGTTAGTAACAGGTTTTTTTTTTTTTTTTTTTTTTTTTAATTTACTATTAAAATTAGAGTTTTTATGCAAAAATAACCAGTTTGACCAGTAGGCAGGAAGACAAAATTTTCGGTGCACAAACTTGAAAGAGAACTTTTTGGTCCCACTGACCAAAAGCATAATGAAGTTGGTGCACCAACGGAATTCACTGTTCTACTAAGAGTTTCAAATGGTTTCCTCATTAGGCTTAGTGACATTTAAATTTTAAATTGTTGATAATTCTATAACTTTTGCATGTAGATTAACTAAAGGCAACCTTAACAAGAACATAAGAACAACATAATTTAATTAATCAATTTGTAATTTTAATACATTCAATATGTTAAACATATAAATGCAATATGTTGAGCATTTTCAATATGTTAAGAGCAGTAATTTAATTAATGTGCTTAACTTTTTCATAGGACCTGGAAAGCTGGGCTTGGTCCTGTTAAAGATTTATACAATATAGGAGAAAATCCACAATTTTGCTTGGATTTAAAATCTGCTGGTTGTGCTGTATGGGTGCTTTTAACTCGGCATATTGTTGACAGAGTAAGTAATTTAATATTCTAAACGGAATGCCACAATTCTGAAGTTTGATATATGTCAATAATAGTTAACTTATTGCTTTAAATATATTTTCATGAGGCCCACCAGCGGTCAGATGATTAAAGCTGTTGAACACTGATGTTTGGTTCTTAGCATTTTTGTGGATTTTCACATGTGTAACATGGATACAAGCTAAATTCCCTTAAAAGTCCTTTAGGGCCATCCCTTCCTTTCAATGTAGTGCCTAATGGTGAAGCGCATAATAAATAAAAAATCTATTTTTCCATGAAAATAAGTATGCTGATGTAAATATATAGAAAGTAATTCATGACAAGATATCAGTAAATACATGTCAGTGTTATTAAGTATTTGCTGAATATAGGATTACTATTACTCCATGCATATGTTATGTAGTCAGTCCTGCAAATTTATTTATGCCCAGAAGCAAATTTATGGAAGATGAATCTGTAAATAAACTGAAATTATGAGTGGATAAATTAATAACATCTTCAGTAGATCATTACTGAAAATAGCCTTTATATTTGATTGTTTATAATTTTTTTTCTTCAAAAATTAAATGGAAATGCTGTGTTATATGACAGTGCCACATATCACATAGTATTTCAGAAACTATGCAGTTTATGATGTGTTCATATGTTGCTGTGATGAAAGTGTGCCGTGAATGGCAAAATGGCATTATATAAAATATATGGCATGGAAACTGTGGAGCTTTGTGGGCTCTAGATAAAAGAGGTAAATGGCAATTTTAGCAGTGTGTGTAGGCTGATTGACATGTTACAGTGGAGCAGTTTACAGCTCAGATGAATCATTGGGATTGCTATATTTTGTCTAAAATGATAGTTCAGTAAACCTTGATGAATATGAATTTCCACAGCAGATGGATAGTAACAGAACCTGTGCTAACAGCTATTCTGTGACAGAAGAGAGTATAACTTTCACAATAGTGCCAACAATGGAATTCCTCTGTGAGGGAAAATTTCCTGACTTCGATGAGTAATGTTTCTCATTTTATTGGGCAAAGGAACATTGGCACATACAGTGAGAAACTTTAAAGAATAAACATACCTGAACTGTTTATAGGCAAATACAGCAATGTGATTTGTGAAATGTTTTTGTGACTATCATCGAGTCCCCTCAATGTTGTAGATGCATTATTGGTTGCATTAAGTGTGCGTGGATCCTTACAGACAACATACACTCTTGTACAGAATTTTTTTTCCCTCTGGGAATGATGGTATCTTCCAGCCTAACAATGCCATGCGTCATGTAGCTAGGGAATTATAGGAAGAGCATGTGGTAGACGTTACTGTACTTCACTGAACCCCAAAATTCAAATAAAGTTCCACAATATATTGGACCATGTGAATAAGGGGTACGTTTTCATTTTGCCGGCGCAAGTGATAAAGTCAGCAAAAATAGTACAACCGATGCCAAACGGAATTTCCTTGCCGGTAACTTTTTACGCCTCATTTTCAAAACAAGTCGCAGCCATTTCTTATCAGATTGATTGTTTCTTTCAATACTGGCATGCAATTACATAGAATTTTTACCAGATAGTTCAATTTTATGCTCTAAGCCCATTCGCAGTAATTAGGATGCAATCATACCACTCACCCAAAGGCAAAAATATAGAAAAGGTAATGTCAAGGGTTAAATTCATCAATTCTAATGAGAATGCTCTAGTGAAATAAAGCAGTACAGTTTCACATGATTTCTGAGTAAGCTATTCGTACGAATTGAAATAATTCTTGCATTTAAACTTGTATTCCAAATTAGAATTTAACTTGAAATTAATGTAGGTAATTGATACTGAGAGGATTAGATTTTTGTAGCGTTATTTATGTGAGATGAGATTATTTGGGTTCACGTGATATGAAACGGAAAATCAGGATGTTGTACCATGAAAGCATAGTAAATTCTTAAATTAATATCTTTTTACAAATTTATTGTCTTTACATAATCTTTTTACAAAATTTTAAATGCCATTAAAATTTTTATGCCTTCAAAATAAAAATTTCTTAGAACTAACATTTTTTATGTGTATACTGTATGTTGTCGCCAATAAAGTCTGCTTGGCGAGATTTGCGCCGGCAAAACGGAAAAGTACCGAATAAGGTAATCATTCTATGGAACCTTTGACAATAATTGTAGAGGCCCTCCAGTATGCTCATAGTATACTTATTTATATTCTATTTTAATGTAAAAGTTTCATTTACAAATATAATTAAATAATGTGAATTTAAAGGTTTTTATTCTTTTTGAGTATATACATTCTATCTAGGATGCATTGATTTTTTAATGGCAAAATGCTTTTATGGTGGTACATATGTTTTTGTTTCATATTTATGTGGTACAAAATTTGAAAAGTTTGAGAACCCCTGCTCTACAACCAGCTGCACTGTAATCATCATGGTTCCATAGTCCTACAAATATTTTTCAGCTGACTAGCTGCTGTCTGGGCTGAAGGATATTAACAAGTGGTCACATTAAGATGACTAAACTATATACAGTCAAAAGTCTTTAATCCAGACGTCCATAATCCGGACCTCAAAGCTACAAACTTTCTGCGCATACGCATGCGCATAATACGTTTACGCATGCACATAATACTTTTACGCGTGCGCATTTAATGTATAATGGACAGTATAAGGTAAACTAAAATTATCTAATTATCTATTTCAGTTAATGTTGCAGATTGCATTGTTCCTTAATCTTCTAATTGGATCTGGCTTATTATTTTTTGCAGACTGTTAGAGCAATTTTATAAAAGTAAGTTTGAACTTTCGATTATGTCAAAAAGAATTTCCGATTCTGGAGCTGCCAAAGGATCTACAAAGCGAAAGCATGTTTCAATGTCCATCAAACAAAAAGTGGAATTGCTGCAAAAAAAATGGATAAAAGCATATCCTTTGTTTCTCTAACCATTCCAAAATCTGTTTATCAATTTAACGCTGCTCTGCGGGGGGGGGGGGGGGTAGCAATGGCGGCGCGCAATGAACTGGAAGTTGATCTGTCAGCACTATCCTTATCTTCAGGGCAGATGTTTCTATTTTATTCGGCTTATAATTCATTACTAATCCTTACTTACTCCTTATAATTCTTTATTCATCTCGATGTACTCCGTCTTTGATATGATTTAAATCAAATTCCTCGTCATTATAAATATCACGAATACACATCAAAGGGTTTTCTGGTTGCAATTTCTAATTTCCACTATGTGTAATGTATGCTTTACGCATGCGTGCGTTGAAAGAAATGTTTAATAAAGTAAACAAATAAATATTAAGCTTTTTTTTGTAAATTTTGATACCCTTTAGATTATAACTGCTCTTTATTTCATAAATTACGGTTTCATATTTTTAATTTTATAATTTCTGCATGCCATCTTACCAGATTTAAACGGATAATCTATAATCCGGAATCGCCGAAGTCCCAACGAGTCTGGATTAAAGACTTTTGACTATATATATATGTTGTATGATCTTAAATTCATTTAGTACGAAATTAAGTTATTCTACTACTTGTGCAATTGCTGCAAAGTAAGTTAATAATAATTTATTTACTAAATAATATTGATTATATTATCTCCTAAGATTAATTATAGTAGAATGGTCTGCAAAGAGTGAATCCATACTTAGTAAGTTCTATTTCAAAAGATGTTTTTAAGTAACTTGAATGGAAATTGTTAAACATGTTTAACGGGGACTGGAATTAAATTATGAATAACAATTGTAAAAGGAATAAATTAAAAGCAAGAATTAAATTAAATGCAAGTAATCATTGTCATTGATTGGAAATTAGTTGACTTTTCAAGGGGGAACAAACCAACTCCTGTTCAATGAACAATAATTAAGAAATATGAAGATATAAAGGCCAGAAAAAGCATTAATTAGCTTACGTTCTTCTATTTGGGAGTGGGCAAAGTGTTCTCTTCGCGTCTGACTCAGAAGGGTTGTTTTCAGAAAATTCTTTAGCGGCAACAGTGGCTTTGAATTATATCAGTCGGTAAGACTTGTGTGAAGTAATTTATGGTGTGGGAGGGGTTAGGAATTCTTGAGAGACGTATGCTGTGGAGTTCTTATTTGAGTGAAACCGTCTGTTAAATTTTTTTGAAAATACTAGTGAATGGAAATTAATTAAATTTTTGGCTAATTTTTATGTCATAACGATGAAGAATTTAAGAAAGGAAAAAAGGAATTTTCACTGTCAAAGAGCTATTTGGCAGACTAAAGATTATGAAATAGGCCCATTTTTTTTAGTTACAGCATAAGTCTGAAGACAATTAGCTTTTTACATTATATACAGCTTAGTAATTACATGCTTAGTAATTACATAGCTTAGTAATTAAATTTGTTGTTGTTTTTTGGTTACTATTTCGTAGGGACGCTATCCTTATCAGTAGTGTCGTCTGTTAGCACTACCCATTGGGGCCCCTTTGAGGAATTTCTCGAGAGGGAAAAAACACAATCTTGGGCCTCATTGAATGTATAGATTTGTGGTTTTTGTTCCTTTAATCTATATTTCCTATCTATTTAAATTAAAAGCATATATTAATACTGTGTGCCTCAACTTGATAAACTTGTACCTATATAATAAATTATGACGGTTAAATTAATAAATAACTAAAATGCTTATTTTTAAAAAAACATTAATTAATATTAAAATAAAAATAAACTCTATTTTATTTACTTATTTATTTTTGCTGATATGTTCTCACCCTGTTTTAGATTTATGATTATATCTGATGGTGTTTTCTGTATAAAGTATGAATATGTTGGAAACCGCAATAGATGATGTTACCTTAGTTAATGTATAATTTTGCATGATATTATATGTATTTTGATCTTATGTGTCTTTTGTTACTGTGTCTCAAGGTAGAGGCTAACATATTGTTCCCCATGTTAAAAAATAAAATTTTAATTAAAAAATTTTTAAATTTTAGTTTCCCTGTTTTAGCAAAAGTTAACTTCTAAATTAGACTTATACTGTTATGTGACTGGACCCCCAATATTTATATTTTAATGTAATTTTATTTTAATTAATGTAATTTTTGTATATTTAATGTAAATGATAATAACTTCCTTCCCTTTTTAACTACACTCATGGACACAATCTTTTTTTTTTTTTTTTTTTTTTTTTTTTTTTTTTTAAGAAAATTCTCTTACTTCCTTTCCTTTTCTTTCTATAGACCCTTTTTTAAAAAAATTATAAATATAATTTATTTTTTCCTCTCCATTACATTTAGGCCATTTATTTTTTACTTTATTTTGTCCCATCTTCCTGGCCTTTCGTGCTCATATAAAATATACGAAGTTCCTTTTTACTCACAAAATTGCTCCCCTTTCTATATACCTTTCCTTCACACCTATGCTTGATTTTTCGCCCATCGGTGCAGAAAGACTTAGCTGGTGCAAAAAAAGACATCTGTTTGCTTTGTCTATTTGTCTGTCCGATTAAAAGCTTTAAAAAGCCAGAGAGTTGTGTTAGTTGATGTTGTTGATTATATTGAAATCGCTGCGAGATCGTATTAGCTTTCTCTTTGCATTGCATTGTATTCTCGTTTTTTTAGTAGTTTGGAGAATAACTAATCATTATATTGCATGATATTGTGTACTTGTACAAATATCTCTGAGAAAATTTCAGCATTTTGTTATATTTCTTGTAACAAGAATAAATCTTTTTAACCAATTATCAGACAATATTATGAACCCGTACGCACACAAGAGTATGTATATATATAGTAAGAGTAATAACTGTCACTTCCTATGGAACTGATAGACTGCGTAATTGATAGCACTGCACTTTGCTGAATGTGTTGTAGTGCTTCTACTCCATACTGAAATCATACTCCATACTTAAGGTAATTTTCCTATAACGAACTGACACACCCGATTTGTTCATTTTATACATATGCTAATTTCTATAATACTATAATTGTTTGGTAATTACTTTTCATGTTATTTTATACCTTATTTGTTGTATACTGTAGGCCAGTTTCATTAAATTCTACACGTAACTTTTTGAGTAATCGTCATTTTTGTGAGTTTTCCTTAATTAATGATAACCAATGTGTAAACAAATTCAAGCATCTCACAGATTTCCCAGTGAAATGTTTATAATTATATAAAATTGGTTAAGTAGTTTTTGTCTTGTACGTGTGTATGCATATACACACACTTACATACATATTAAATTTCTCAAATCTCATATATTATTAAATGCATACACACACACAAAAAAAAAGGACAAAAACTATTTAACCAATTTTATAAAATTATAAACATTTTACTAGGTAATCTATGAGATGGTTGCACTTTTTTATACTTGCGTAGTTCATCTGTGATTGGAGTATCTTGGGAAGATAGAGTCAGCTTCAACACCCAGCTTGTTCAACAATACAATGGTGTGCAAAAATTGAGGATGAAATTGAAAAATTAGCTTATCAGCGGAAGAAAGAGGCAGAGCGAACTGAAAGACCAGTCAAGAGATTGACTAGGGTCAGGTACCGTAGCATGCTAAATGTGATGGGGGACTTTCGGAAGGGTTTAAAAATCACTGGCGGTGTGAGCTCAGCATTTTCTGAGAAGCTATTGCATGGCGTATGTCGATTTAAACAACATAAAGTTGCTACCTCAGTATAAAATGTTGAACAATCAGTCTAACATATGAATGATTTTACTTCATGTTGAATCATTCGAAAGATTGAGGAAAGTCAAAATGTGACAAGTGTGGCTGCGGAGTTTGGGCTTGCTCACAGCATTATATCATGACTTTGGAGAGCATTTCAAAGTACTGAACTACAAGAATAGCTGTCCGATGGTTCAGCAGTAGTCGTTCACAAGCAACCACAGCAGCAGTAATTTTGCTAGTTTAGCAGTTTCAGTGCTGTAATGGCTTATGCTTGAAATTTTACTACATAATTCAAGCGAAGAACTGTTGAGATATATAACCCAAGGTTAAAGAAATACTAGAAAAATCCTTACTTTTATCAGTAATATGGGGTTGTATGTTATGCTGGTTGGGTTTTAGTCAAGTGATTTGAGACTATAAACATTTGACCTTGACCATCTGAATATGAAAGTTGGAGCATTTTTGAGATGGTCTTCTTCACCATGAATATTTTAATATCAGTGCTTTGATTAATGACAACATTAAGGGTTTAGTAGTAAAGGATTAATTTAATATTTACAAAATGATGGTTCAGAATTTGTTACTTAAAGTGACAGCTATCATGGAACTCAAAAGTTCCAGCAGCCAGAGCAAGTAATAGAGATAATACAAAGTCTGTTTTTGTCTATACACTGTCTTCAGAATTTTCTGCTTTGTATATACCATCTAATTCATGCATATGGCTTATTGCAGTTGTCTCAAATTGGTGATCTCCTAAGCAATTTTTTGTAGCTTGTGATGAGTGTGTTTCAGTTATGTATTTGTTCTAAAGATTTCACAATTTTAGTTATATGAAGTGAGAGTTTATATTATTTACATTACCAATAAAAATGCACAAGAATAATACACCAGAAAATCTGTAAACGGAGATGGTTAATTTAGAGTGCTGTATAAATCTTGGTGCTGTATAAAATATTGGAAGATACAGATTTTACCAACTTTATTCATGCATGTCAAAAAATAAACATGAATTCCCCCACCTCCTAAATTTTTGCTCTAAGATTTTTTTTTTTTGGGGGGGGAGTATATTTATATGTGAATAGCTTTATTTCACTTTTCAAAATTAATAATAAAAGACTGAAGAGCATATATAATCTATGATGAAGATAATTTCTCTACAAGGTTATAAATTTTATCAGAATTGAAACAATATCAAGTTAATGCCAAATGACAGTTATTGGAAGCTCAGATAACAGGAATCAACAGTAATTTTTATGAATTTGGAATAAGAGTTTCAAAGGTTTGACTACAGAACTGTTGAAACTATTATTGCAAACTTCTAAAAATTACTACTGGTTCCTGTCCAAATTCTTAAGATGAATTTCCAATAAATGTCATCAAGTGACAAGTTATAGTAAGAAATAAAGAAATTTATAATTATTTACATATAAAAGTGTGTATTTTCATTTATGCGCTGAAGAAAATTTAATGAATAAGAGAAAGACTAAGTTATTATTTATTTACTTATCCCAATTTTAAAATTTTCTCTGAAAACTTTGAAAGTTTCATAATTTGTTTACTTTTAGTTTAAATTAAAGTAAATTACTTAATGATTAATTAAATCTATTACAGCTATTTAAAAAAGTATCAATCTCTAAAAATTTAATATTTAGCTGTCATTATATTTGAATTATAATACGTAACCAACAAAAATGTGTTATAGTTATCAAACTTTAGATTTCAGATAGAAAATAAATTTGAAATTTTTTCTTTGCAACATTACCATTATTGTTTCTGTATGTTTTGCTAAATATTTAATAAGCAAGATTTTAAATTTATATACTTTCATTGTTAATAAAAAAAATATTTATTTTGTTTTAAAAAAAAGTATTACCTGCATACAATTTGAATTGAGACCACTGGCTTAGTGTATGCAATCGTTTAATACTTCTTTTATTCTTAGGATGACTTTGCCGAGAATAAGGAATTCATAGCAGTAATTGTTTACAAAAATGATGGAAATAAAGTATACATTCCAAGTGAGTTATTAAATTTGATTTTTTTTTAAAGTTCTAATTTTTTTTTAAATGCAGTAATTCTTAAATAAACTAATGCTTTTTTTTAAATGTTTCAGCGGATCCAGAGCCTTATATTGATGGAGTCAGAATCAATAGTCCTCATTATTTATGTAAAATAGTAGTGCCTCCAGGAGGAACTACTCGATATACGCTTGTCGTTTCTCAATATGAAAAGAGCCATACAATATATTACACTTTAAGAGCTTATGCTACATGCCCTTTCACCTTATCATATATTCAGAATGTTTTCAAGTACAAACATGAGGTATGATGTTTTTTGTGTTGTAATGATGTCTATTCCAAATCTAAAGTAGTTTATGTAGTACTGTATTTTACATTATAGATAATATTGTCTGCATGTTGCTTAATGAAAATGCTCCTTTGTTCTAAAGTCATCTGCATTATTTATCCCAGTTTATAATTCATATATGCCAGCTGAGATATATTCATTAGGTGTGTTCATGGCACATATGAAATTTCTGTCAGCTTACAAATACCATTTTGGCATTTGTTAAATGTGTTATGTAAATATACTTTTTATAAATGATCTAATTTATAAGGTATTGCCCCTTCCTTTAACTCCACGCAAAGCAAATTATTTGCAGGCTATTAAAATTTAAATCTCTAAAATAAAATTGTGATTTTAAATAAATGCACAGTTGAATTTTTATTTTTAAAAAAAATTAGCCATAGTTTGTGCCAGCAAACTAAAGCAGTTTATCTTTTATTTGATGATTTTACTTCCATACATTTTGAAACATTTGCAACATAAAATCCATTTTGCAACATTTTGATAACATTAACCAAATTGTTGATCATAATAAGCGATGTATTTTCCATGTTTTTATGCAAAAATAAATTGGGACTTTGCTTATTCAATAACAATATCTAAATTCTAACATTAACCATGATCACATTAATGTTGTCTACTTTAGTTACTGCTCTACAAAGTATAATGTTCATAATGCAAATGAATAGTTTGATTAAAGTGCACACAAAAATTCAAAAATTATATAAAACCCGAAGGAAATACCTTTCTTTAATACTTATTTCTGTGTAAGTTTTTCTAAAATAGTAAAATAGAAGCCTTCTTTAATTTTTGACGTGTTTCCCGTATTATCTATTATATGGTAAAATGATCACATTTAACAAAATATTCTGACCATTAACTGGGAAAGTGACTGTGTTTATCTGCGTATATATGTCTTTTAGCCGTGGGCAAGTTAAATATATAGTATACTACAAATGACTTAATTGTAAAAAACAAAGAAAAATGTTTGTCAGTTTGCATATTTATTTTTAAAAAGCTATGTGTATACAGTTTAACCTTGATGTATTATTCCTGCATGTATTTTTTAGTTGCCGTTGAAGTTCTGTATTAACAGTACTGTTGCGTGCGTACGGGTTCGTTTATGAAATGAATGCACAAGTCCAATGAAAAATGAAGAAAATTTATTATTATCACAACAAAAGTGCTTAAATTTTCTCAGATATTCATGCAATATTACAGTATCTCACAATAGTTATCTTTTAACTACTAAAACGTTCAAGAGAACTTAATCCAAAAACAGCTAAAGAAAGCTAATCCACGAATTCGCTACAGTCAACAAGAGCAGTTTTCTAAGCAAACTCTTAAAACAACAACAAACTAACTAAAATCATCGACTTGAGAGGTTTTCCTCCTTTTATAAGATTTTAAATTGCACGCTAGAATTTTCTGGAACTTTCTCGAAATCGAAAAGAGATATTTATTTATTTATTAAATGTTAAATGCACGTGCTCTTGTATTTTTTATTTTCCGGCTTAGCTTTCCTTCAATATTCGTCACGTGCTACCCTGCACGGGGAATAAAACAATTTAATTTATAATTCAACTAACATTAGCTATTTAAATACCAAATCCGTTATACATATTGATGCAGTAATGCTTTACACATGGTCCTGTTATTACTGTATTATTTGACTGTATTACAGACTTTTGAAGTTTTGCAAAAATTTTAAATGTTTTTGTGTATGCAAAGCCATGTTAGTTTTGGGAAAATTTTAAGTCATATTTTCTATTAATGCATAATTCTGTAGAATAGAATAATATTATTCTCTTCTGTAATACTATAGAATACCAAAAAAATATGGAATTCTATAACGTTATGGAATATATTATGATATAATCTGTTGAGGCTAAATTCAGTTGAAGTGCAAAAAGAATCACTTAAAAAGTAGTTTTTGATGCAGCATTTTCATGTCACATGTAGTAAAATGTTATGTGTAGTAAATGTATTTACAATGTGGTGTAATTTCTGAGCTTAGTCATTTTCTTACATCCATAGTCTTTTTCTAAGGTAAAGAATATGTACAAAAAAATTAACTTTCATTTTTAAAATCTTCTTTTTAATTAGGTTATTTCCTCTTTCATCTGAAAAACAGCAACATGCAGCTAATAAATCTCTCTGAACTGCATGGTTTCAAAATTTATTCCTGTCATATTCTTATTTAACACTCCTGACATATATATCTAAATCTTTTAGCTGATAATAATGTTAAATTTTTCTAATTAAAAATCTGAATTAACCAATAGAAATAGAGTACCTATGATTTCACTATTCTTAATCTAATTTTTGGCACTAGAAGTGCTATTAACTTTGGTTATCACATTTTTGTCCATATCACTTTTTAGATATCATGTGTGTACAAAAGCTTTCAGTGTTTTTTATTGGGAATAAACATTATTTTTTTTTCAACAATGGATCCTTAATTTTAATCATCAGTGTATTTGCTCTGACTCTCTGTTACTGAGTCCATAAATCAGGTAGTGTTATACTCTCTGCTTAAAGACTGTGAAAAGAAGTACTGCTGTTTAGAGGAAACAAAGTCATTGGTGCAAATGGTTCTTCTTATTAATGTTTGCAAGTGCTACTGGAAAGTGTATACTGTAAGGATAACCTGTTAGCTTTAATCTCCGTTATTAATCTCAGGATGGCTAGGGGTAAGTCGGGCTTTCACTTTTCATTCAATCGGGATAACTCTTGCATTTTATAAATGCTTTATTATTACAATAATTATATACATATATACATATCATTAGGGAACATTCTCAACGTCAATCCTATTCTCTCGCTTCCCGATCGTGCGCCCCCTATCGGTGGCTTTTCTACAATGCCATCTATCGGCTGATAACATTCGGTCATTCTGACCTGACAATCGTCCCGATTGTTCGAAGTACAAATTTATAATTAATACAATTTTCTACTTCGACTCTTATACACAATACTAAACATACATATTACTAATACACTAAGAAGAATACACATTATACTAAAATTTGATATGATGACAAACTTACTAAAATATTTTCACATACATAAATTCACATATTTTTATACATTAGCATAATAATCGAAAATTTTCTGTAAATCATTACTACATACGTGATATAAATGAAAATACTCAATTTTTTTTCAGTTCTAAAATGATTCAAAATGCATTAAAGTCTTTCAGCTAATGTTCAAAAGTTCAAAGTCAATTAATGTTCAAAAGTTCAAAGTTTCTAAAGTTTTCTATCAGCAAACATACGTAGATAAGCACATACACAAAAAAAAAAAGGAAAGATCTCACCTTAATCACAGGGTAGAGCACTTCCATCAGTCCTTACGAACAGATCTGATTGGATTCCGTCAAGGAATTAAGCTTGATAACTGATCAGTATCTTCATCGTCACCGTCGTCATCATCATCGTCAGAGCTTGGATCGCACCTCCATGGCTTCAGCTGGCTCACATGAGCAGTGGTAGTGAAGTAGTGACCTAGATTCTTCGCTTCTAGTTGAGTTATTCTGTAGGTATCGCTAGGTAATATTTCCGTTATTATAAATGGCCCTCAATATTTCGGCTGTGTTTTGGTAGGTTGACCTGTAGCCTTAGGAGCACATCTCATCACAACTATTTCTCCTTGCTCGAATATTAGTGTACGACACCTCTTCCCATCGAATCTCTTTTTCATTTTCACTTGCTGTTCCTCAATTCTTCCTCGCGCTTGCTCTTGGATTTCTCGCGGGTCTTTCCATGCATCTGAATCTTCATCTGCTAACTTCCTAAGTATTCCATCATTAAATCTGGGAAAATATCCATGTAGCATTTCAAATGGAGTCTTATTCGTAGTTTTGTTTACCATGTTGTTAAGATTTCTTTCTGTCTCTTTTATTTTTGAATCCCAATCTCTGTGTTGTTTATCCATCAAACTTGTCATTATCGTTCCTAAAATTGTTCTGTTGACGCGCTCTACCATACCATTGGCTTGGGGGTGTTTGGTAGAATTCAAAGTATGATGTATTCCGTTATCTGTACAATACTGCTTAAATTGGTGAGAAGTAAAACAAGATCCTCTATCACTTATTATTTTTTTCCGGTAGTCCAAAATCATTAACAAAATTCTTCAAAGACTGTAAAACATTTTTAGCACTAGTATTCTTAACTGCAAAAATTCTCACAAACCTATTCATGTTATCAATTATCACTAATAGTTCTTGATTACCTCTCAAACTCTTTACAAAAGGACCCAAGTGATCCATGTGAACAATAGCAAACGGTCTTTAACCAGGTTTTATGGGATGTAACAGTCCTTGTTGCTTGCCACCTGTCACTTTATTCATAAGGCACTCAATACATGCTGATATGTGTCTTCATACGTATCGTTTCATGCTTGGGAACCAATATAATTCCTTAATTTTCCTAACTGTTCTATCTACAGAAAAGTGACCAAATAAATCATGGAATTTCACCACTATACTCTTCCTCATGCTTTTTGGAATCACATAGAGTAGTCTTTCCTTTCCATCCACTACGGTTTTCCAAAACAGTCTGTTCTTCTTAAACACGTAATTCATAATTACTTTTTTCTCCTCAGCAGTTCGTTCCTCTTGTTTCTTCTTGAAAATTTCGATAATTCTTTTCAGGTCTTGGTCAGCATGTTGTATCATTAGTATTTGCTCTTCTTTGGTTAGGGAGTGGCAAACTTCAAAATTTTCAGCTATTCTCGTCGTCGTATCATCAGCTTCTGATACAGGACCTCTGCTCAAAGCATCAATATGTGACAGTCTTTTTCCTGACCTATGCTTTATCTCAAAATCATATTCTTGAATCAAACTACACCCAACGGGCTATTTGAGGATTTGTAGTCTTCTTAGCATTCATATATATTAGAGCTTGACAGTCAGTAATAATTGTAAATCTTATGCCGATTAAGAACTGTCTTAACCTGTCCAACGTCCATAC